TATTACATGTAATTAATTTTAACTATTTAAAAAGTTTGTTTTTTGTAGTGCTGACACGTAGCCAGTAGCGCTTTTCACCTCTCCTATTATATATAGATAGATTATTTTGAATTGTCAATTATTGTGACTTATAGTACTTTTTACGTAGTTTATAAATATATAAAATTCATTTCAAAAAAATTGAAGATTCCACGCGCAAAATTCTGGTCGAACTTAAATTGTTTAACTCTCGAAAAATGAAAAGTGTCACATAAATTGGGATCGGGAGAGTATCTTTTCTGTTTCAATTTGTTTGACTATTTTTTCTTAGTTAGTTTAAAAAGATAGGGAAACTCAAATATGCCATCAAATTTTGAGGAAAAGATCCATTTATGTCATCCATTAAAAGTTTGGCTCATTTATATTGGAGAAACTTAGAGATTGTTTGGATTGACTTAAAAGTTTGTCAAACTTACTTTTAAGTTTTTGACAAATATAAAAAATAACTTAAAACAAGTCAAAAATGATACTCCCTCCGTCCCATTTTATATGATGTACTTTGATTTGGCACAAAACTTTTAAGAAAAATGGAAAGACTTTTAAAACTTGTGGTCCAAAATGAATGATAGAAATTTGTGTAGTTGTAAATCATTTTCATTAAGGGTAAAAAAGACATTTTATAGGCAAATTGTTACTTAAAATAGAAATGTGTCATTCTTTTTGGGTCTGACTAAAAAAGGAAAGTAAGTCATATAAATTGGGACAGAGGGAGTATAAAATAAGTCAGGAAGTGTTTGATAAGGTCAAAATGACTTAAAATAAGTTTAAAATGACTTAAAATAAATCAAAAACCAAAAGTAGGTTTTTCCTACTTTTTATTTTTTTGACTTAAAGCTACGATTTAAATCAATCCAAACAGACTCTTATTCATACCATTGTTTCAAGTCAAAACCACATCCTCACACGAACTTGATGAACTTTATCATCAGAAGTGGAGCGAAGTAGATTTTAACACAAGAAATAACTCGAATTCAATAGAACAGTAACAAGGAAATTACAACTGAGAAGGGAAAATTGCAGCAAAAGAAAAGATAGATCTAGAAGAGGAGATGAGAGGTTAGACAATAGGAATGGAGATGAGAGAATAACAGAGAATGCATCAACATCAGGCTTCCCTCTCACGTCCCACTACTCTGCTCTTATAGCTAATTGACCTTGTCCTTTTTTTACTTTTTGCTAACTCTAATACCACCAACTTTTAACCATGATTCCAATCATAGTCAGCCAACCTAGCATTTGGTATTTTGATCCTTTGGTCTCTTCCCAAAATATCCCTACTAGCTTGTGTGTCCACCTCAGCAGAAACCCTATCGTTCACAACAAGAAGTGTGTACACAAGCCATCAAGGCTAGTGTTGCTCGAAATCCACCACAAGGAACGTAACTCACTGATGATTTCAACTTCAACTTCCAAATCAAGTCCTCTTTTGTAGAGAAATGGTGCTTTACTTGCACCTATATGAACATTATTATCGAATATCCAATTGTTAAAGAGAAGAATTGTCAAGTATATGGATTGGAATATTGGGTGCTTGACTAGATGCAACGAAATTTAACAATACAATACAATACAATACATTTTAAGTAACAATCAAAACAAGCATTCTATGAATAGTAACAATACTAACAATACAATACAATCCAATGGATAACAATGATCCAAATTATTAGTAGCGCGCAATTACAATTTCACTTATAATACCTTCCTTTATCTTCTCTTTCATGGCAAAGATATTCAAAGCATAAAGGAATCGACTGACTATACGGATACGCAACTGATGAAAATACAATATAAGATGAACAATGTTTCAGAGTAAAGGAAATCAAAGACCAAATTGAAATTGTACGTTCTGAAGCTGCCACCCACAATCACAGGAACAGCCTGTTTTCACCCTTAAATTATTATACCCAACACACAAGTTTCTAAATTTTGTTAAGAATTGCACTGTAGCAAAGTGGAACACAAGAAACATCCAATTAATACAATTCCATGAATTAGAGGGTCTTATTGCTGATCTTCATCTGATCTAGACCGCATCAACCACCTGCGCCTTCTTGGATTATTAGACATATCACCACTCAATATGTTAAGATCAGGTTCACCCTCATCTTCATTATCGTTATCGTCTTGTAGACCAAGTAGGTTTTCACACCAAGGATATCGGCGCCTAGATAGAGGTCCAGTTGACCGAGGGTGCCTTGACAAAGCTCTTGATCTGCCACCTCTTGCCTCAGGTATTGGATCCATTGAGCCAATCATCTGAAACAAGAAGAAGGTACTCAACCATCTTCCGTTTGCACCTGAGCCTCGTTCCCTTTCGCCAGATAGCCTGTCTCCATTCTCAATCACATAATTCCAAACACAACTGCACCAGGCATGGCTGAGCGAACAGCACTGACAATGTCATCGTACTCTCTCTGATTCTCAAGCCGTCTCCAAGCTCGCTGTCTTGAAGGATCAATATCAGCAGGGCGTGCTGTAGGGTGATCTCTCCTAGCATGCCGGCGCAATTCTCTGTAGTTACCGAGGAATGAACATGATTCACGAGAGCAACTTCGATGCTTCAAATTTAGATACTTTCTGGCTTCTTCCACTACCTTCCAACTTAATACGTCTCCACGGCACATAGGACACTTCAATTTCAATATTGAGTCAGATGAGTTATCTGCATTCGCTGTTTCATGACTACTTCCCCATACAGTAATAGCATCTGAAGTCTGTAGACCACCTTCCCGCATCTCCATGTGATTATCTCTGTTACTATTTCCATTTTCTTCTGATCCTCCAGGAAATGGACCAGTTGCTACAACTTCATTGGCAGGTATATCGTGATATCCGTGAACAACAGTACGATCACTTAAATTTTTCAGCTCCAAGTGTTCAGCGGGTGTCTCAACAGCAATATCCAGGTTCCCCTGTGTCATAATGGGAGGATTGTCCCTATTTTCGGCTTTGAGTTTTTTGAAACGATCCAGACAATTTGAATGCTTATAACTTGTATCACATATGTATGACCGGCATCCCTTATCATGAGAGCTACAAAGGAGAAGAACAGCATTGTGTGGATGATCCATGCATATAGGGCATGAAGCTCCATCCAATTCCTTGTACAGGAAATGAATATCTACATCATTTGACATGCTTCGTTTCCTACTAGCCATCTGCGTACACTATAAAGTGTTACTAAAAAACAATGGAACCATCAGATGATTCAGATCAATGCAACAGCTAGCAATAAGGAAACAGCATATTTTGTAGTATGACAAACAGCGAAACAAACTGTTTAAATACCACGACTTCTCAAGTTATAAAATTATATCATTGACGAGATTGTGCAAACTAATGAACCTATCGATCACAAGCAATCTTCTTCGATAAGAAGCAAACATCCAATATGATAGAGCTGCAGCCTTCCAGCTCTACATTTACAATATAATTATTCCGGGGTGCTAGGAGGATTTACTTGCACTAAGGTTCTTACGCACTTCCCTTACTAGTAAAGGGGCTGCTAGGTGTAGCTTCTTTTATATTCTCCTGTTCTGAGTTGACCTCCACCCTTGCACCTTCCATGCTATTATACTTCGGCTAGGAGCCTTTCCTGAGGTGGATAACATAGCCAGAAGAAACAAAAAACACTGATGTAATTTGTTTAACCATAGCTAAGGAAAGGTGAAAGGAGGCCCTAAAGAAAGAATCTTTATATGAGTTTGAGGTTGAGAGAAAAGCATCCTGAACTATGAGGAGAAGCTCAGTTGATTAAGCCATGTAATGTCAAATATACCACAACCGGTCAATTCACAGACATTCTCTTCCATACCAACAAACCGGGCAATATATAGTGCTTCTAACAACTACATCTAGATAACAAAACCAAGTTCTGGAACATATATGATCTGTAGTGCTAGTACCATGTGTCTAATATATTTGCAGTCTCCAACAAGTTCTACATGCACCGATATTTCAAAGGCTCCTTTCCCAGAGTCAGCACACTATTTTTTCGTATGAGAATTTAGCATCTTTGGCAGTACTATTGTCTAAACTGAAGGTAAGAAAAGGAAGTCACGATATGATAAACATAACCAATTCCTTAAAATCTTTGAACCTGGAACAGAAACAAAGTATAGGATCATCCATCAATCCATAAAACTCAAGTGTTGTACCAGTGTGTATTTTAAGGTTTAAAAGAAACGCTACTTCATTCTATGGTGTCTGCAGGACACTAGCCAACATGGAAAACTATCTCATGCATGCCAAAAGATAAGTGTAATGCATAATTGTCCATCTTATCAGAAGTACTCGGTCTATTTCTCTTCCAATTCTACCGAACTTTATTTTTTCTGTGTTGCACGGACCCTTTGAAAATGCTAACATGTGTGTATCGGATCCTCCAACAGTAGTGCATTTTTGGAGGGTCTGACACAGGTATGGCAGCATATTCGGACTGTCCAAGCAAGTTTTTTCCCATCTCATTATTTTTTTCTTGTTAAGAAAATAGATTGCATTTTGGCTTTGTACGAAACTAAGTTATTATCTCTTTCTCACAAACCAGTAACCTCAAACAATAACACTCAGGAAATTTACAATTTTGCATTGGGACCAGATCCCAACAAATATAGGAATGCATCAATGCGTTCTCTCAAATAAAAGGATAGATACACCACAGATTGATATCTCAAAATTGAAATCCATAAGCAACACAAGATTAAAGAATTTATCATGACGCTTCGGGAGACAAAATAAACCAAAAAAAAACAAACATATATATTATTTCCGGTAAGCATACTCACCACGAAATATACCAAGTCTCTTCTAGTATTTCCTCTGATTCTTTCAACGTTGTAAGTACTACTGAATGAAATACTACAGGGTCCTTGTGCCACTCTAGAGTGCAATTAATGATAAACCTTCACGAGCAGTATTAATTTTCATTGGTGACAGTCCTAGAAATCTTGAGCATAAGTGTTGAATACAATGCAGTCCTAGACTATATCTTAGCCACAATCAGCCAGGAGTCCTAAAACCTGCAGTTAAGTATGATGTTCTTGTACAACACAAAGCAAGAAAGAAAATGTTTAGCAGGACTCACATTAACGATGATTGAGAAGTAGAAATTATGAAAAACGGCTGTAACTTAGTGAATTAGATAGTTATAGGAGAGATGATTTTCACCAGGATTTATGAAAACTATAGCCTGGACAACACACTCCAACAAAAAAACAAACATTATGCACAGATGCAAGATAACATTTAATTTGATTTCACCAGATTACTGACAAACAGCAAGTTCACCAAAATATGAACTTGTTTTCAACCATAAACCACCCTCTAAAACCCCCCAAAATGAAAAATAAAACATGTCATGTTAATAATTCCCTCAAGGATCAAATTTTGTAGCAAATCAAGTAAAGCATATTTACATTGATCCATTAATTTTGCAAACAAAAGATGATATTGTAAAAAATTTAAGCCCAATACAAAATCCATACCCCAGCAGATAATATTACTGTTAATTGCTAAGAATAATTTAATAAATTCCAAATATTTACAATTAAAGAATATCATTAGCTAAAATATATTTTTGGAGGTTTTCTAGACTGTATCTAGTGAACTGTAGTTGTCTAGTAGATGGAGACCCAGGCATAACTAACCAGCAAGTCCAGAAACCCCAACTGTAGTATCCTTTGGAAGGATAAGTCTCCAAAGAGAGCCTCATCTAAAATTAGTGGATAATCTTACACTACAATCTTGAAGATTGAACTGCATTTGGTTATACCAATTTTGCCACAAAAAATACCAAAGCTTTGTAAAGGTCACAAAGAATGCCAGAGAGCCCATACCTAGTGATTGATCATGTCTGTATTATGGCCTGCAATTGGCTAGTTAAACGACAAGTCTTGTTATTGCCTTCTATCCAACTTGTTTGTTGACAAAGGCACACAAGTAACGTATTCCATAAATGGTAATCAGGAACTATACCCTTTTCTACCATTTGCAGAAAGAACATATATGCTTTGTGGAAATCTCCTCTGCTACAGAAGACATCAATGAACGGACCATAACTTCCAGAGTCCAGCAAGCAGCCTCTACCTTTGATGTCCTCCATCAACTTAGATGCCTTTCCAACTTTACCCTGCTTGCAAAGCAGAATTATCACATCATTTAATGTGGATGCAACTGGAAGATAACCACGCCCAATCATCTCGTTCATCAGCTCAAATGCTCCTTTTATACATCCTTTGCTACAATATCCACTAACTAAGTTTGCATAAACAAGAGCACTTGGCATAACACCCTCCTCGACCATTTGATCATAGACCCTCCTTGCTTCACCAATGTTGCCATTTTCACAAAAACCAATTATTCTCACGCTCCTATCCACAGCTCGGGGAAACAAATTTTCCATCTTCCTTAGAAATGCAAGTGCTTCTTCCAAACAGTTTTCATTGTAAAACCCATATATAACACCATTATACGGACTAATATGAAACGCTGAAACACCTTTATCATCCTTCATTACTTCCAAGATCTTCAATCCATTTTCCACTCTCCCACCCGAACACAATCCATGGATAAGAGTATCATACGTGACAAAATTCCAATTTATCCCAACCCTTTTCATTTCATTGAACATTTCAAGTGCCAAATCCAACATCTTGGAGTCACAAAGACCAGATATCAAGCCATTATATGTATCTGCATTTGGCATGCACCCTTTCAACTCCATCTCCTTCAAAAGACGACAGCCAACTTTCACTTTCCCTAATCTACAAAACCCATTAATCAATGTGTTATAAGCAACAACATCAACAATACCTCCTCTTTCCTCAACTCTTTCTAGTAATTCCACTGCCTCTGAAACACGTCCGTTGTTACAAAGAAGTCCCACTACTTTAGTCACTGTAATAACATCAGGTATATACCCTTTATTAAAGCTCTTTTCCAGCATCACCAAAGCCTGTACTAAACTCCCCTCTCCACAATATGCTGATATCAAAATGTTAAAAGTCACATCACTTGGTTCAACCAAATCTCTCATCAAACTCCTTGCTCTCCCTACCTTCCCATTCTTGCAAAGTGCATGTATAAGTGTATTGTAAATCACAGTATTTGGGGTAATGCCACGAGTTTTCATCACTTGAAGAAGCTTAAACCCATCACCAATCCTATTAGTCAAGCAAAGTCCTTTCATCAAAATCCCATAAGTATAATCATCACCGTGAATACCATTTCCCATCATTTTAATCCTATAAAACTCTCTAGCAATGTCTATATCTTCCTTAACAAGAACATCAAGAATCGAATTATAGAGCTTCAGGGTCGGTTTCTTTTCAAACTTGGACACCAATTCAGGAATTTTGATGACTTGTTTAATCATTCCAGTACGACCAAGACCACGTACAATGGTAACAAAGATATCCTCATCTGGGGTTGACCCAATAGAGCTAGGCATTTCGTCGAGCAGGTGGTGGACACAATCAAAACGCCGAAAATTGCAGAGCATGCGGATTAATGCTCGGTAAGTAGATTGATTGTGAGTGAAATTGCGAATGTTGGAGGCCCATCTAAAGGTTTGAAGAGCTTGAGTTGCAGATTTTTGTTCCAAAATTAAACGGGTGATGTTTTCTTGAGTTGGGACAGGACTGGTTAATAGTGGTTGTGATTGAGTAGTGAGAAATGCTCGATAAATTCGGTTACTGCAACGGAAAGATTTGTTCATATTGCTATTCAAATTTCAGCCCAGTACTCAACAAGACAACAACTCTAGGACCACTGTATAAGGCTATGCTAAAGTTGTGCACAAGCCATCAACGCTAGTGTTGCTCGAAATCCACCACAATATCTTAATTAGTGTAAAATAATGGACCTAGGCTTTAAGGGTAATACATACACTTACACTTCAAATAATAAGTACTTCAATAAAAATAGACATTTGTTTGGCCATTGACTCTTGCATAATTCAGCTACTGTTATACACTTTCCTCACGTCCTTCACAAGTTAGATTACACAAGACTCATGTCCTTCAAAGGGCTTCTCAAAAATTGACCAAACACCCTCATTAGTGTTAGGATCCTTCCAAAGAAAAGAAATACTTTTGTTAACATTTTTCATCAGATGAATAGAATCGATGGCATCGGAGAGCTACCCTTATATATAGCACCTTCATTCAAGACCATAATTCAATGTGTTTTTCTCTTTTAATTCAAGGAAGCTACTTTGATAAGGAGGAACTGAGTGCAACGAATTTTTTTTAAAAAAGGTAAGGATTGATTAATACCATTAGGAGAAAAATTAATGAATATCCGCAATTTAGATACAAAGAAAAATTCATTAATATAATATTCGGAACTTAGATTTCAAGATATAATATCATTTGTAGTGAACTAGATAAGGTTGGGATATATATATTATGAACGGAAAGGGTCAAATATACCCCTATACTATTGAAAATAGTTTAAATATACCCTTTGTTATATACTTTCGGGCTAAATATACTCCTTCCGTTATACTTTGGGCTAAATATTTCCTTATATCTAACAGAGGGACACGTGGACGACTAAGATTAAAAGAATCCATTCAATTTAAAATAGACCAAATCTAATATAACCCACTCCGCCCCCATAATATAACCTGCCCGCACCGCCTGGCCAGTGCATGTGTAAGTATTTCTTATAAAGATTGTTGCTGCTTTATGCATGATCTCAGGTGAGAGAGGGCTGCCCTATGCTGAGCTCACCTGGCAAGTTCGTCTAAAAATCATACAAGGAGTAGCTCAAGGACTTATTATCTTCCCACTGAACTTGCTTCTTCTGATTTACCCCATGGCGATTTGAAAGCGATCAATATACTCATAACCACAAACCACGAGCTAACACTCACAGGTTACAGATTTCACACTTTAATGAACAATGCGCATGCAATTCAAGCACTAATCGCGTTCATGTCACCAGAAACAGTACGAAATAACCAAGTTACACCCAAATGCGATGTTTATTGCCTTGGAATTGTGATTCTTGAGATAATAACTAGGAAGTTCCCGTCTCAATATCTTAATACCGGTAAAGGAGGGATTGACATAGCACAATGGGTGAAATCTGCAATTGCTGAGGGAAGAGAAGCTGAATTATTAGGGTGGGGCGGGATGTTTTATATCAGATGGTCTATTTTAAATTGAATGGACTCTTCTAATCTTAGTCGTCCACGTGTCCCTCTGTTAGATGTAAGGGTATATGTGAGCCTCAATTTTGATGATTTGACAAACCTAGGGACCATGTAAAGGGACCTGACCCTGGACGGCAATATACACACAACTGCCAGGCTAGAAAAAGTAGAATTGGTTGGTGCACAGTCTCCAATAGTGGCAGAAATGGCAGAAACCTCAATCAATGGCATGGCCTCGAAGGTTGTGACTATTCTTCACAAAGATTATGTCCAATAGTCATAACTTCAGTTTTTGCAACTTGAAAAAACTCTCAAGAACTCTTGCAAAGGCTAATACTAAAGTAAAGATTCATTCTAAAGATCAACTTGAACCAGATAGAGCTGCAAACATAGTTGTCTTAGGATTATATCTTCTGCACGTACATTGTAAATCTGTTCCTACATCTATAAAAGGATTCAGATAGTTGTTTTGTTAAAAAGTCTAAATCAGTTGAGTCTAACTGATTTAGTGGGCAGCCGTGTGTGCTGCTAGGTTAAAGTCTAAGTCATCCAAAGCGTGGTGGTTTTAGTGGGGCAACCTGCGTGTTGCTTTGTCAAATTCTAAGTTGTCTAGTGGTGATAGCTTAGTGGGCAGAGAGACATCTGCTTAGGCTCTCCAAGTAATAGAATTATTACTTGGTTGTGAGATTAATAACTTTTTCTCACGTTGGTTGTAATTGTTGTTCACTTTTGCTTAAGGAAGACTAGTGAAATCAATTGGAAATCCTGTGTGATAGGTCGTGATTTTACTCCCTTGAGCAAGGAGGTTTCCACGTAAACTGCTTGTGTTGTTTCATTATTGTTATTTACTCTTCGTTGTCATTCTGGTTAAGTCAAGGGACCTGGTCCATTGACAGACAGCGGACGCACCCATTCTATCAATTGGTATTAGAGCAGGTACTCTCTAGTTGGTTAACACCAAGAGAGATATTTCTCTAAAAGAATGGCTGCTCCACTGAACCTCGAAGAAAGACAATCTTCAACACGACCTCCTCGTTTCAATGGTCAGTTTTACAGTTGGTGGAAAAGAAGGATGCACGACTATCTTATGGCTGAGGACAACGAGTTGTGGGACATAGTGCTCGATGGACCTTTCATTCCAACAGTGGAAGTGAAAGATGGTGAAATCACAAAAGTTGTTCCAAAGACTCTCCAACAGTACAACGAGGAGGACAGAAAGAAGATCGAGAAAAGCTACAGAGCTAAGAAGCTGTTAGTGTGTGGTATAGGTGTTGAAGAGTACAACCACATCTCTGTGTGTGAATCGGCAAAGGAAATCTGGGACAGTCTAAGAACAGCTCACGAAGGGACAGAGCAGGTGAAGGAGTCGAAGGTAGATATGCTGACCACCCAATACGAGAACTTCACAATGAAAGAGGATGAAAGCATTCATGACATGCATACAAGGTTTTCATCCATAACCAACGAGCTGCGAAGCTTGGGAGAACCCATTAACTCTAGTAAGCAGGTCAGGAAGATTCTTCGAATTCTTCCCAAGTCATGGGCAAGTAAAGTAGATGCCATAACTGAAGCAAAGGACTTTAAGGTTCTGACGATGGATGCTCTCATTAGAAATCTCAAACTCATGAAATGAACAGAAATCAGGACACCTCAAAGAAGAAAGCTAAGAAAGACAAGTCTCCAGTTCTCAAAATCAAGTCTGGAGATGACTCTAATGAAGAGGATGACATGGTTTATCTCACTAAGAGATTTCAAAAAATTGTGAGAAAACATGGAGGGTTCAAGAAAAGAGGGAATCTCCCTCACGTTGCAACTACTAGTGATCTATGTCACAAGTGCGGAAAGGCGGGGCACTTCATAAGAGATTGCCCGATACTCAAAACTGAAAAACAAAGAGTATCAAAGACCTGGAGATGAAAAAGATAAGAGAAAGGACCTGGTACCTGAGAAAATTGTAAGAAAAGTTGCAGCTAACTACGTTGTGAAGAAGGCTCTTGCTGTCTGGGGAGATTCTTCAAGTGAGTTGATGAGTCCACAATTTGGACTCATTTAGGGATTTATTTTGATAAGAATAGTGTCCTCGAATGCTTATTTTGTCTAAATATCTGATGAAAACTCTTAAGTGTCAGGTATTTGAAGTTTTAGTGAAAGCATGGACACTTAGGCGCAAAAAGGAACAAAAAGCCTGAAAAGAACGAAGAATCTGAAACCCGAGCATCACCAAGCACACTTGGCGATTCGCCGAAGGGATTTACTCCGCCCTTTGTTCCAGTACGCGAAGCCTTGAAGGAGAAGGATAAAAAAGGCGATGAAAGGAGCAGTCGATGCTTCGCCGAATAGTTTCGCGAAGCAGTACTATACCACCCAATGGTCCAGAACGTGAAGATGCGGAAGGCAAGCATGAAACGGCGATGAGATAGACGAAGGGCGAGTCGCCGAAGTCATTCGGTGATATCGACTAACTTCGCCGAAAGATCCGCAAATGTTATTTTTTGAAGTCTATAAATACTGAACTTTTTATTAATTTTAAAGAGTCAAACATTTATTTTACTTTCCAAAATAGAATAGTACTTTTTGGATATTTTTCTCTCAAGTTTGGAGAGGGTTTTTAGGAGACTTGAAGAAAGAAGGATTTCATCTTCCCCAAGTTGGAAGTGGGTCTTCTCCATTATTCTTCCTTTTCTTAAATCAAGGTTTAATTTCTTATACCCATTTGATTTTACTATCATTTTAGGTGTATTTTGTTATTTTTTATGTGTGGCTAAAACCCCCATTCTTGGGTGTGATTTAACAAATATGTGTTGATATTATTGTTGGGTCTTGCTTGCTGATAGGTTAGATGTAGTTTAATGGTGATTTCATCTAGTGGTTATGGTTTAATCTAAAGGGTTTGTAGTTGCGAATACAAAGTTACCCATGTGTTTCCGGCTTGCCCGAGAGGGAGGTCGCGAAACCAAGACCACTAGACTGATGGCCTAAGGAATGGGTCGACCTGAGGTTCAGCCTGAGAGGGTGAGCCCTAGTCCCATATCCTAACACTCAACTCGAGAGAGTGAGTGGGGTAAGGCATAGGCTGGTCTTCATGCGGCAAATAGTTGTCCGAGAGGAACGCATTTGAAATGGGGTAAGTTGCCCGAGAGGG